CCCAACGAGACAATTGCGTTAACTGAAAACCCAAGTTCGAAGTGTGTGTGTGTGTGACAGCTGAGACGAAAGGGACCAGTGAGCATCCCCAGCTTGTAAAGAAAAGTAGTTCACCTAAATGAGGTCGGAAGGCAAACGCCGTGCTATTCCCAGAATTGAATTCAATGAGGGTGAAACAGCTTGTGCAAGCCACACTGTCTATCATACCATAGCTCACCTGGTCATTTTAGTGGCCAGGGCTTCTTTCTCAATCTACAAGTGGGCGTTCTTAAATCCGTATGAGTTGGTCGCACTTAGTGAGGTTCAACCCCATGAATTGGTGATAGTGATTCCCCATACCCCAGACGCTCCATGGGACTGGAATATATGCTCCACTGACCCCTGGCACCACCCTAATTGATTGGCATATATATATGGCATACATGGAGCTTTTGAGTACCAGGATCCATGGCAGATTTCGGTGTTTTCTTCGGCGCGAGGGAAGGAAGCCAATCCAACCTGGATCTGAGCCACCCGTGAGTCCATCGAGCCACCCGTGCGCTGCGAATCAATTCATCGGTTGGACCTGAGCACCGGATCAGGGAAGCCCAAGCCGCGAGGGGCGCAACCCAAACGGATGAAATACAGGGCGCAGCCGTTGCGATCCATTGGACCTGACCCCATGGGACTGACTCAATGTTAGTGACTATTCCATACGTAAACACACCCATTCTGAAGAGTTGACCATACTCTTAGTGTTTTTTGATTGATTTGGTATGTTCCAAGGTGAACCATACCCAAACATTCCATGGTGACTGGCACAAGCCGCTAAAATCCATCCCAACTTGGGTCCGATCAGACCAACTAAGGGTCCACCCTAACCATCCTTGCCTCCGGACTGGAAGGGGGACATGTTTGGACCCTATATGGCAGGATTTGGACCCTCAAAAATCTTCACCCTTGAGGGTCCATGGCTCTTAGGGCGCCGGGCGTACCCCAAGAGCTCTTAGACAGCCCAGACAAACGCTCCACCCCTGCGCGCCATGCACACACGCGCGCTGTCCCAGGTGCGAATGTTCGTTTTGCCGCTGTCCTGTGGCGGCACGATTCCACCAGTGGCCACCCGGGTGATGTATGAAATTGTTCAGGACCGCGGATCGGCCGTGGTAACGCGCCGCGAACGCGGAGGTTGGTTGGTCGCAGGTGTGGCGCCAGCGATCTGCCACAGGTGAGTGGGAAGCTGGCGAGCGAGCTAAACCTAATCCTGGTGTTCCGTATCTATTTATTAAGATGATTAGGAGATTGTCATTTTCCCGAACTGGGTCAGTCCCCTTCTGGGGTAAAAATTGATGTTCTTCCAGGGTCCTCAAGCAAATCCAAGTAATTCAGCTTTCGAAACGTAGATGAAACCTCATTGCTCAAAACCTTTGAGACTCACGCAGACATGTGGCATAATTCGGCATTAAGGCATTGATTCTAGGCATGAAGCAGCATTGCATGTTGCATAAATATATATATATATATGGGGTCTGTCCTACTACCTCTAGCAGTCGGTAAATAGTTATTACAATCGTCTCACTATTCTTAGAGAAAGGCCTTTACTAGACGTCCCTAAGGATCCACTGACCTCCTCAGGTTCGGTACGACTGGGCCCGACCCAGGCACCTTAAATAGTCTCCCATCACCCCAGAAGGTGGCAGTGGATCCATATAGCCCAAAGGCTCAGAAAGGACCCTCAGTTCGCCAGGGTTTTGACCCTCACAGCCAGGGTGAAATGGAGCCTTCACCAACATGTAGCAGTTCTTTCGGGTCCCTGAGCCTTTGTCAGGGCATCATCATCCACTGGTAGTCGGATATACCGTAGACGCCATGCATCTATCGCCACCGATCTTGCTCCTTGTCATCGCCGCGTCTCCGTCCTTGTCGCGTCACTTGAGAGGACCACAAGACTGGACGCCCCCGAGCAGAGAACGTGTTGACGGCCGAAACGCAATCGCAGTTCAAGTGGTGGGGGCCCCCTAGCTGGGCGATCGAAGGGTGTCAACATCTGAGACCCTTGCCTTCAGAATCCGGGCCGGGTTGGGTTCAGATTTGTGGCCCCCCCTGCGAAGAAGAGAGAGAAGGTTCGTCTTCTGCCATGGAGGGTCCAAGGATTCTGAGGGAAGAAGACTTTTGGACGTAAGAAGGCCGACGTTGACGGTCGGAGACCCACAGGGTCGAATCAGTCGAATCCAAGTTGAGGGACCAGGAGGGGGCGATGAACGCGGGCGCACCGCTCTTTCTTCGATTGTTGGTTGGTTGCTTGGTTGGTTGGTTGGTACCTTCGGATGCAACTGCATGTGTGTCTTCCTTCGGGTTCTGCTCAACGGAGCGTTTGGAGAATGCAGATGGTCATGAGAACTTGGACAGTGACTTCGCCACCTGTTGGGTGATGCCCAATAGAATGTCTGACACCTATAGAAGCTGCCGCAAGCGAGCTGGAGGAGTTCCTTGAACAACGGTAAATCGGGCTCCGATGTTTGGTTCTTCCCATGTTCTTCCTCATGATGTTCAATGTGTTCCCTTTGTATGGCCTACTTTGGAATGTTGCCCAGACGCTCGTGGGCCCTCATATGGAGGGGTCGGACCCTCATATGGAGGGGTCTGGGGTCTCAAATCCCTAGGGTGTTGAGGTACCAAGAGCTGTTTGGAGCGTCTGGGTGAATGGAATTGGTCAGTTTCTCCGCTTGCTGCGCCCGTGTACTTCTACTCGCTAGGCCGGTCCCTGAACACCTGAAGCAGAAGTCCGGAAGCATCATTCAGGTTCGCTGGGCAGGATGGGGAGTTGACGATGTTGTGGCATTCACCCACAAACCTACACCCGGGAAGAGACCCACATGGAACCTGAAAATGGACCTGTGGAAGACGATTTTCCTCTACAACCCAGTGGTTTTCAGGTTCCATGTTAATCTTCAAGGGTGTAGGCAGGCTTTGTTCAGCCCTCATGTAGACTCAATGTAGACCAAAATGATGCTTACTGTATTTTGCAATCCTCATTGAGGCCTTTTGTGAATCGAGATGAGTCATCAGTTTACGAGGACTGGTGTGCATGCAAATCGCAGCTGCCGTTTCCAGTTCCATCGGACGTGAGGACGTGAGTGTGTCCTAGACGTGCTTCCCGTAGACATGAACGTTGCCATTGTTGATGAACGTCTTCCATTCCAAGACCTCTCCGATCTATAGATCCGTTGTTCCATTGACCGGTGCCCTTCTTGGAGGATACTCCCAGAAGGTGTCCTATGGGATCCACTCCGGGACCCACCAAAGACGAACACCAAAAAGACGCAACACCGTGAAAACAGCTCCAACCGGTCCCTCAACAGCATACCTGGGGAAACAAGATACAAAAAGAACATTATATATATATATTATATAAACAAAACACGTAGTACTACCGTAGTACATATACAAAGAAAGACCATCCTTTTTCACGAACAGACGATGGTTTATATGTTTGCTCCTGACGGGAGGCGACCATCATTACGGCTGCCTTGAAGTATTAAACAAAAAGCTCGGGCCAACAAAATGTTCACTTGGACCTCAGCTGGGCGAGCCAGGCCGGCAGAACCTACGGCTTCATTCAGCCTGATGACGGTAGTGAGAAGATGTTCGTTGGGGCTCCCGTGAAGTACGTCCTCGCTTTTTCGTGACGGTGGGTGTTGGTGCGTCGAGTCATGATTTTTCTGGCACAAAGGCAGCCAATTGATTCCAGGGGGATTTTCTGGCGGGGGAGAGTTGTGGTTGCTTGCTCAATGTGGGTTAAGTCAGAACCTGCAGATCCGAATCCGTGTTGTTTCTTGTTCCATGACCGTCAAGGTGAAACAATGAACATCATATGAAACATCCAAGAAGCCAACACTCCTAAGGAATGCAACACTCGAGCATAACACATGGATGTCGGATTCCGGAGCCTGCGGAGCTTCCGGAGCCTGCGGAGCTTCCCAGCCAGCTGCCTGACTTCAGTGCCTGAACCTGCCCTCAGCGCCCCTCAGTTGGGCCTCAAGGGGTGTCGTAGGACTCGGCCTGAAGCCACATGGGCTCAATCATGTTCAATCCATCTCAACCAGATTGGTTTTGGTAGACTTCTTAGCTGCGTCCTGTAGTTTAAAGATGTTTAAAGAGCTTTCTTAGTTTTTGGACTGTGTAGCTCAAGAGTCAGAGACTTGTGACTTGTTGCCACGGCTTACGACACCCAGGCATGGAAGAGTTGCATTAGATCCGGTCCATTTCCTGTCAGTAACTCTTCCTGTCCCACGGAGGGTCTTAGGATTTCCCCCCAACTCCGGGAACTCCGCAGGAACCGCCTTTGCCCCAGTTCCGACGGGCAGGTCCTGCCGGGCTCCTGCAGGGAGTGTGGAGATTTCGCCGTCCCGTGCGTGGCTGAGTGAAGATTCTGCCGAGCTCGCTCGACGACTCGACGCCTGCGGCAGCAGCGCGGCAGCGTGCGTTTGGGCGTCCTCTTCGCGGCGTGCGCGAGATGTTTGGGGGCGGATGGGCCGTAGGGCATGACAGATCGCTCTTTGGAGTGGGACTGTAGGTCTCATGGATGAGGTCATTGGATAATTAGATAGCTATTATGGATGCGGGACACCCTGCTTTAACCTGTTCAAGCTTGTTTCCTCCGCCTTAAGTCCTTAAGTATTCTCACGGAGGCTTTCTCCCAAGCTTCCTGACTCCAACATGTTGCCCCACCCGGTTCGGAAGCAACCTTGGCAAGGCCCTTGGGGACGCGAGTGGTCTACCAGGCCGGCGCCCCAAAGACTGAGGACTTTTTACTTGGACATGTTCATCAAACAGCCCAAGTAGGCCCTCAGAAGGCCGTTGGACCCTCTCAACTCGCAACCTCTGCTTAGCATGGGTGGGAGGGGTTGCCTGGCAGAAGGCTTTTCGGGCCTCCAATCCGGCCGGCCCAGGTCACGATTGATCAAAAGACTGGCAAGCCCCGGGCAGACAACGTGCAATTGGAGGTGGATGACGGGCACCGGAGCAGAAAGCGGATGTGTTCAGCTTCACCCACCCACCCCCAGGTTCAGCCCCCAGAACCCATGATCAAATAAAGGTCACTGAGAAGACCAGACGAGATATGTGATAGAACCCCCGCCTAAAGCATATATGAGTCGCCACTTCGAAGAACACACGGCCGCCTCCTCGTTTCCGGTTACTGTCTTTCTTCCACCTCGCCGTCCAAGTCACGTGTGGTGGCCCGTGCCTCGGGGACGTTGCCGTGCCGACGCCGGCCGTGCAGGTGTTGGAAGAACGCACTGGGAGTATCAGAGATTCCGGCGAGAAGTGACCGGCTAAGTCGCGGCTTCACTCGGGGCGAGTACGTCGCGGCGACTTCACCCCCGTGGCCGGGAAGAGAACCGCCGCCGCAGGTGCCACTCTGAAAAACAGACTCGGTTTGGAGGGGTAGGTCTGAGGATGGTGGGACCCATCCTGGACGTCGTCCTCCATCCAGACATCCAGCAGCTGAGGTTTGGCTTTATTCTTCAAGATGATGGTGAGGCCGAGCTGAACCGGGCAGCTGCCGAGCTGAACCGGGCAGCTTCTGCAAGGATTTCTATTGGGCCCAGTGAAGGTAGATAAGAGGATTTAGCCATTGAAATGCCTGTGCTTTAGAGTGCTAATTCTTCCATTTAGCCCATGTGTGTGTGTGTGTGGGGATTTACTTGCTCAATGCATTTCTTCTCGGCAATTCGCGTGGCTTCAAGGAGAGAGAGAGAGAGAAAACGATAAAACTCCGACCCTTGTCCAGGAAAAGTGGACCCATCGAGGTACGAACTGAGACTCCAGGCAGTTGCAGGTGGCCAGGCAGTTACATGTTTTGAAGGGAACTGAGATACTTCTACCTCGGATTCCTTGGAGTTGATCACCGAAGGGCCCCTGTTGGAGGGGTAGATGTGGGACTTTGTTGAATATGGACATGCAAAGGATTCATCTTCTTCTCCCCAGAAGGCTCAAGAAGTAACCGCCCAAGGCCTGGAACTTCCAATCTTCCGAACCAAAAGGCAGACTTCATGTGCCCCGAAGCGTTGAACGTGGGCGCAGTTGGAAGATCCAGGTAGTAAGCCTTACAGTATGTGTTCCCCGCATCACCCTAAACCAAAGGCATCAACTGCCTCACCCGCATCAACCAGCGATCTGTCCACACGAATCGATGCCGCCAGGCGATGTTTGTGCTGCCCCTCTCCTGCGTTGCCTTTGACAAAGTGCCCGGAGGGTGGTTTTGGGAATGGCGCCTTGGGGGCACCGAACCTGCCTCTCTCCGGGCCCAAAATCCGCGAACATCCAAGGATTTCAACACGTTGGCCTCCAATCCAATGGCAATGGTGGATTCTAAATGGAAGAAGACCCCTAGGGATCCAAGTACCTTCTCAGAAGGTGATTGGGGACACTCTTATGTAGGTTTTGAGGGTCCAAGTACCTTCTGAGAAGGTACTTGGATCCCTAGGGAACCTAAGAGCGATGGCCTCCAACCTCAAAGCAAGGATTCTGGGGACCGGTGGGATTTTCCAGAGGAGCTCAGGTCCATCAGCACGAGATTCATCAGCCAGACGCAACCCTGGACACGAACCAACTGCTACCATGGTTTTGCTATGTTTAGCTTATTATATTGGTGATGTGGTGTTTTTTTTTTGATTTTCCCGAAGTGTTCGTAAAATCCCCTGACGTGGGACACTGCAATGCTGTATGTTTTTCCAGCTTCCGAACCCGCTTCGGTCAGCGACCGTGTTTGGACCGCGAGCCTCCCGCTGTTGTCTTCTCCCAACTCTGGGGGTCTGCGGCGGGTTGAGGGAAAGCAGACCTCAACCAACACCCACCAGCACCACGGATTCCGGGTGTCCATTAGTAGCCCCTTGACCTCGTGTCCATGAACCACCCCGACCGGGGGTCCAGCCAGAAGGCTTTCCAAAATCATGCTCAACAATAACTCATATAATAACTCACTCACATAGTTCAGCGAGATCGCCCTTTCTTACCCCTTTCAGCGTGATTTGCCGACGAGAAAGTGCAGCATGGAAGACTCCTCTAGCATTTAGGCAGCCAAAGAGGCCGGCTTGTCGCCTGGTCATAGAAAGGCCTGTCACAGCTCGGAAGACTCATCAAATCCACATCCTACAGCACCTACCCCACTCCACCTACCCATCCGATTCTCAGCCATAGGTGGCCCGATTCTCAACTATCGCTTGATTTAAAGAATCACCCGGCTGCTCACGTACAGGATTGGTCGGAACTAGGATCCAAATGACCACTCCCATGTCATATTCTTCTGTCATGGAGGGCATGCCCCCAAGTCAATGACCCATGCTCTTGATAGTCGGTGATCCATGCACTTTCCATCCAAAGGCTTGGACCTCCAAACCTCCGCAACCCGCCGGCAACCCGCTTCTGCCAGGTGATCCCTCCCGCCGGCACGCGCGTGTCCTTCAACGTCATCTCAGATCCCAAGACCGGGCGCCAGCGTGCGGACGATGTGCGACCTGAAGGGCAGCCTGCCGGGGAGCTGAGCAGCTGAGGAGTGGTGGGGTGTAGTGAAGTGATGAAGATCAGGTGTCGGAGTGGGAGTGAGTGAGAGTAGGAGTGGGGTGTAAGTGGGATGTAGGAGTGGTGGAAGGACTGAAGATCGCACCGGCGCCCGACGCGTGTCGCTGCTGGGGCTAAGCCGCTAGAGCCGCTAGACGCAGGCTTCACTGCCCAGACGCGACCTGTCTGGGACTGCCATCTATGCCTCCATTGGGATGGTATTGGGGGGTCTGTCCGGGGCGGCAGTCCCAGACGGGTCGTGTCTGGGCTGGTCACATCATCAGTCCGAGCCTCGGATCATCTGGGGGACGGCCGGCAACGACCCACACCCACCGACCCCTCCGAAGTGAGGTCAGACCATCCGACGTGGAGGTAGACACAGGTGACTCACTATACCAGTGCACCCTGGTCAGTCACAATTCACATGGAGTTGGGTGGTGTATCCCAGCCAGTGAGTGGATGTGACAGGGGCACCTCACTCCTACCTCCGTTCGTTCGGCACCCCTTTGATCCCCTTTGTGACTCCTGGTGGCCTCGATTTGCTCGCCTCTTAGGCGTCGGAGAAAGTGCCTATGCCTATGGACGGCGGCAAAGGCGGGGGTCGTTGGGTGTTTGGGTGCTTGTTTTTGTTTGTAGGTGTGTTTGCTCAACTTCACCATGCTCTATACCCTAGGGATCCAAGTACCTTCTCAGAAGGTGATTGGAGACACTCAGAAGGTACTTGGATCCCTAGGGATATTAAGTTACTCTTGGCTGTACTTCAACTGCTTTGTTGATGCCAATGGTATTCTTGTGTGTTCTTTGTTTCTGCGACGTTCTCACTACAATTGGAACAACTTGAGCGTCCTGTTTGAGGGCCCGAACGATTCCCCTAGATCGGTGAGACCCTTTCCGCAGATGATGTGGTCCAATGCATGTGGTCCAATTGTGTGTGTGCGCCTTCTTCCTCCCACGTGTGGGATGGAAGAGGGGACATGTAGGGCAATCCACTTGAAGAATCATGACATTACGCGCACCAACTGCATAGATTTGCACAACTTTGGGCCAATCATGAAACACAACACCTAAACAAAGTCTGACTTCTGAGCAGTTTGTGGCACACAAACCCTGAAAGCTTTCCCTATCGGTTTCCGATAAAGGTGACGTTTTCCGCCGTTCGCCTCGCCCGCTTCGTTCACATCGAGCGCGCCAGGAACTCGCCCCGGCCCCGGCCGCCCCGGCATGATGCTCGCCACGGCCCCAGAGACCTGGAGACCCGGTTCTGCCGTGGAGATTTAAGCCATCAGCCAGTTGCATCATGCATGTGATGATATACATATTACACACCTGGAGCCCAACCTCTATTCTGATCGGAAAAGACCATATTTTGGGCGGTGGGTGGTCCAAAATAGAGGTCATTCAGGTTCTAGGCATACGTATTCTGTCCTAGGAAATCTGTAGCAGTCAGTAAACAATCATCACATTTCTTTAAACAAGGCCTGCAACTGAACCATCATCATCCACTGTTACTGGTGATAGGATAGACCCAATATATATGTATTTTATATATACATATTCAGCACCAAAACCATCACTATAAACCCGTTTCTTTCTCAATGGGGTGAACACCCAAACATCGGGTTTTCACAGTCTGAAATACATTGAGTTTGGTCAAAAACATCGGGTTCTTCAGGAACCCGTTGTTCTTGACATTCTGAAGGGCTCTTGTTGATGAATCGGCACGTTGAATGGGCGTCCGTTAAGTGCCTGAGGTCCCGATGTCATTCCTCCACCAAGCTCGCATACTGCACAAAGATAATCAACAATGCACACAATTCATAGAACGTTTTTGCCTGGCGAATAACTATATACAGAGTCGTGGAGAACATGATCTTGACATGTGAGAAGTGACACTTAGACGAAATAACGGGTGGATTTCAACGCTGGGCCATACCCGTACTTGACTTGTACAAAATACCTCGGACGGGGTATTTGACAAACATGATGTTTTCACAACCTGTGCAAAACCCGTACTTTGCCCGTACTAGCCCATAATAATTGTTCTTCCCTCAGCGCATTGTTTGAAGGCTGTTAGCCTATATTTTTGAAGTTTACGCAAGAACTTTCTTGCATTGGGAGGCTTTCCGATGGGTTCAAGGTGGAGAAATTCAGTAGCACGTTGCCTCAATTCTTGATTTATGGCAAGACAAGATGAGAAAGGGGTCAGTGAAACATCCTGACCCCTTTCAAGTAACGTTTCTGGTTGCTCTGTAAGCTGTATACAGTAACAGTAGATTTTGTTTTGTCTAATCCGACCCAAGCCGTAACCTGGCATGGAGTTGAAGGTGCAAGAAAGCGAACTACCCATCTTTGCTCCCTCTTTAGTTAGCAGCAGCTAGTGACAGAGGCGTTGGAAGGGTCTCCCAACTTCTTGTTCTTGGCATCCCCAGGAGTCAAGGCGTTCCAACTTCTTGGTTCGACTGCTACACAGAAGTCTCCAATCCAGCATCCAAAAACATAGAAAACATGCCATGCAAGCACCAAAAACACTTGAGTATGTGTCTGTCAACCAATTGGTAGACCAAATTAAGAGGATAGCGTCAAAATGTCTGTTGGCTGCCCAGTCTCTTGAAGGACCTATCGGCTGCCCTTCCCCGTGGAAAACGAAGCGAGAACTGCCTTTCTCAGGGACGATCCGCACCCTACTAGCGCAGACCTCAGAAGATCGCACCGACCTCAGCAGATCGCAGCGCGCGCGGTTGACACCGAAGACATGGTCTAGATCAGTGGGGTCTTCGAGGGACCTTTAGAAGACCAGTTTATCCTCTACTTTTGGCCATGCCTTGCTTTGGTGGAAGTCAAGGGTGATGTTCCAACACTTCCTGGGTTCAATTTTTTCGCATGGGGAAGAGATGTGCCAAATCCAGCTGTTTAGGCCAATCCAAGGTCTCGCTCTCCTCGCTGGCATTTTTGGCTGCGGGTGCCTCGCGGTGCATCAGATTGGGTCCTGTGAAGCGGAGGCCGGCCATGGCGCCGCAAGTGCTGAGCCTACTGTTGGTGGCAAGGCTGCAAGCATAGATAAGCCTCCGTGGATGACCCTTGGGGGGGATTTGGGAAAGGCTCGGTTGTTCAACCTCCCCTTATCTTCCAGGGAAGGTGAGGAGGTCGGCACTTTAAGTAGCATTTTTTAGCTGTTTCTTGCTGGATGAATAGAGGTCTTTTGCACCTTGGTCGTGTGCAACCAAGTCCAGTTTATGGCACCATATGGCACCTATTATGGTGTTTCTGCCGTTCTCAAAAGGATGTCGTTGTTCTCGATTTTTGGGCATTGAAGCTGTAGTAGAGGCCATTTTTGGGGCTTCCAACAATGAAAGCCATTTGAGCAAGAACTTGACGACCAACATCCGGCAAGAACTGCTGCAAGTAGAGACGTGCTTCCATCTTGGCTTCCCATCACCAGATGGGTAGCATCCCATATGTTGAAAATTTATTATACTGGACTTTTGTGATGCAGACGGGTCAACCTGATGCTTTTTGCACCACTGACATGTTTAAGGATCACGGAAGGCAACGTTTTTGTTTTGTGAGTGTCGTCTTTTCGCATCAAAGGTGGTGTTAGTCTTGGCTTGTGCCAACTTGCGACCAGTTTCCTTCGTGGCTCCTGGCGGCACCAATGTCCCATTGGCTGTCGGAAGCAGAAGTTCTAGCAGCTGGAGCCCCAGAATCATGATGTACACTGGGGCAATATCAGCCAGCATGCAGTTCAGGTGTTCATTGATGAGAGCCATAGTATTTTCGCGTTTAGGCCTTATGACCACAAGGCCGTCAGTAAAACATAATTTGCTGGCAGAGTAGGGCCGATATTTTTGCAGAGGCCACGCTCCTCCCTTCATGCAACATTCCAAAAAATGCACACGATGCTGCAATCAATAACACAAAAATATTCCCAAGAAAACCCGTTCTTACTGTTCCTATGATTCTGTGACATCGGTGCTGTTTCAATCTTTGCCACATTGGATGGCCATAGTTGGCAGGTCTTCACTTCAAGCCAGTGACATCGGGCACATCGTGTAGCCCTGCGGCGGTGCTGTTGGGACTGACCAGCTTGGTGGCAGCGCAGTGCCGCCGTGGCAGGCCACACGGTTCTCGGCACGTACAGTGCAGAGCTACGGTCGCCCAGTGGAACAAGCGGGTGTGACTGGGTGGCATCACTGGCGCCGGGAATTTGATTGAAGAGCTTGGCGATTCTTCCAGATTTTGTGGTCTTCCAGGAAGAACGGCCCACCAGATCTGATTCAAAATGAATGTAACATCATGCGAAGTGTGACTGATTCTTTCGCCACCATTTTTGGAGCCCACGCTAGTCGACCTAGTCGCCACTCCTGTCTCCATGGAGTCATCACCTCCACATCCTGACCGGGCCGAAGGTGACCGGGGGCCGAAGGCAGGCCTTGGCCGGTTTCCGACCTGACCGAATGATGCCTGCAAGGCATTGGCCCGGAAAAACCTCCTTCTATCGTATCACGGCTGTAAAGGCTGTAAATGCATGTATTTCCACCCCCTATGAGGAGGTTTTACAATCCAAACGGTTTTTCATAAACATATATCATATATCACGATTCTTCATGGGGAGTTGATCTCCAGAACCATCCACTGGAGACTCCGACACCTGGTGTTATGTCGGGGCCTGGCGGTCTGGCACGCACGCGAGGAAGCGCATCGAGGGTGGCCGTGCCGTGTTCGACGTCACCTTGCTGAAGCCTTTGGGGCTGACGCCGAAGAACTTCCCCAACAGACCCGGCGTGGGCATCGCCAAGATCAAGGAAGGTGCGGGGTGTCTGACCCAGGTGGAGGAGGAACTGCGTCAGTTTCTCACAGGTCCAATGGCCCAAATGGCTGCAGTGAGTTTCTTCATCCAAGATTCCGACTGTTCGGTTTAGTCATCCAGTGGTGAACGAATTCATTACCATGGTACTTCATACCAATTCATGCACACGTGCTTTCTTCCTCCTCAACTCACGGGTCAAATTCGGGAATAGATGATTTTTTGGTGTGTCACTCCCGTGGCCAGGTGGCAATACCGAGGCTTGGTGTTGCAATTGGAGGATCTGAGGGCAAGTTCGGCCACCGGTCACTTCTCGACCGTTCCCTCGGCCCCCGGTCGACCGGAATGGTCGGTCACGACCGGATCTAAGGAGTTCTGGAACAAAAAGGTCTTGCTGGAAGATGCCACTTGGATAGAGCAGTGCGGACTACGAGCATGATATGACCATGATGATACATGGCCGAACTCATACACATATTTTTATAATCTGGATGCGAGATCCTTTGAGTTGTTTTATGTTGTGTTTGTGTCCTTGAGACACCGACCGAGAACATCAGAGAAGCGGTTTCAATGTCTTTAATATATAAACCTGACGCCCTGTGACGTTTTGCAGCGTCTTCTTCTTCTTTCAAGCCGATAGCCGGTGGGTTCCACCACGCACCTGGATGAGGTTCCGGGAATGTTTGTGCTTGAGGGGGATGAAGTGGTGGGCGTGAACGACACCATTTGTGAAGGCCCGCTTCGGCTCGCCTCACGGGGTCCTCTGTGGATGTGACGCGGGTGGCACGGGGAGGCGGCTTGATGTTATCCGGGTGATAACAGGACCAATTGCTGGTGCTGCTGCTGCTGGTGCTGGTGGTGGTAATTGATCATTCATTCTGTCAAAAGGTGAAGTTTGGAATGAATTATCAATTAGCACCACCACTTGAAGAATGAATTTTTAATTAGCAAGTGAATTATTAATTAGAAGTCTCAGCCCACTTGAGAGTTTTTGGTCGAAACCTCGCTGACCTTGAAACTTGTATCACATCCGCCCAGCTACTCCACTCACTGGACTAAAACCACCCCTTCAGTTGCCTTCTGTTGGGGGGGAGTTGTATGTGATCACCCCTGCCTAATCCTGCCTATTTTGTTTCCTAAGCATCCTCCCACACCTTTTGCTTGCTTCGTATCATCGGATTCGGTGAATCGTCTTCATGCAGACCCCGGACGTCCCTCCTGGCAGGGAAGGACTTGGAGACCGTGTCGAAGTTGGTGAAGGAATCTCCAGGCACGGCATCGACGTAGCAGTTGGTTTGGCGGTTCTCGGGTGATGCGTGAATGTTTCCATCCCCCTAGCAGCAGAAGGGAACACATTGTTGTGTGTGTTCGATGACGCGGCATTCTCCCGGGCTGGGAGCTGAGACGATGAATTGTTGGGGAGCGTCGAACCGTGAGCTTGTGAGCGCGCGGCAGCGCGTGAGCACGAAAGTCGGGAGTCTCACTTCGGATTCGATGAAAGGGAAGAAGGGAAAGAGGCTTGTTGGAACATAGGGCCCCTCCTCAGTGCCTGACTGGAGCCCTCAAGATTGTGTAGGATCTTGAGGGTGTGTAGGGTGTGTAGGTCTTTGGACCATTGGACTGGAGCCCTGAAAGCTTCAGACATCGAGACGGTGAACGTAACGGTCTACGTCAAGCGTCTTCACGAAAAGCGTCGCCACTTCGCCAGGAGACACGGTGACCTTGAAGTTAGTGCGGAACTATTTGACCGGACCGGTCCCAGTCTTAGTCCATCAGAACTGGTTCATACCAGTGATATGGGTTCCCAAGCCATGGCTTGGGAGGATCTGTCACCTGTTCTGCATCCCCACACGCCGTGGTTGAGCAATCTTCGGGGGAAGACACACTTGTTCATTCAACTCGCGGGCGCCATGTTCATTCAATTCGGCCTTGTTTCCCGCTGACGACCATTGTCTCCCGCAGGCTCTTCTCATTAGGTTGATCTGGGTGAGAAGAGCGCAGGTCATTGCAATCGGCACCACCATGTGCCCTGTTGTCATGATAATATAGTTTGTTCTGAGGTGAAGATTGTTTGGAAGCCATCCTTGAAGATGGGCACCTACAAACGTGGAGCTCTCCTGCGGGCCTGCGAAGAGACTCTGGGTGCCAATGTTCGCTACTCCTGCGAAGATGGTTGGTGTAGTTCATGCTGGCATGCGGAAGCCACTTGGCGAATGTGGAGTTGGTGCCAGGCACCAAGCGGCTAGGGCTCAAAGTTGGGGCAACATCCAAACCAACTGGCAAAAGGAACTATAGAATACTATAGATCGACACAAACATATATATATATACATACAGTGTATAATACATGATATGATTCTGCCTGGGTTGAACTGTTCTTGAACCTCTTCCACGGGATTTGCATATTGTCCCTTGAAATGGTGGTCCATTGCAAGGCAGATGTTGATCCCCGCGCACCGCTCGTCGTTCCATTTTTGTTTGGAGCATGAGAGGCTTGTTGCGTTAACTACTGGACACAGTACATGAACCGCCCTGCTGGCCATACTGAGGACAATTACATGACCGCTTGGCACTCAGATGTATGACATCCGGCGACGATATTGCCTTGCATAGAGCCACCACGACGATTCATCAAAGCAACAAGACTAGAACCGGGGTCGAGCACCGTTTTGTCGGTGCTGATGTTTGTAGAGGCTACAGAGTGACATTAGTGATTGCAAATGTCAACGTTCAGATCCATTGAGTGTTTGTGACGTGTCTATATTTCAAGAAGCGGCCCTTGATCATTTGGCAAAACCGTTTTGAGACAGATGAATCTGTTTCGCTTGCTTTTGAAACGCCCTGTTTGCGGATGGATGCAGGTGTATCGAATTTGCAAGATGGACGTGCCGCCCTCAGCGGCTGGCTGGTTGGAATCCAATGACTGGCTGCACGAGGATGTCCAATTCCCAAACATGTCCTGTCTGGGACTGGCCCAAACTTGCTGATCAGTTGGGGTGATTTCAAAAGGGGGGTCCATGTAGCCATATGTTCCAGTCCCATGGAGTGTTGGATTGACAAGCCTGTTGAATTGTGCCTGCCTCAGGTGTGTGTTGAAGAAAGGGATGACACAACATATACTATATATGGACAGAACTGGTTGGAAAATAGGTCTGGGGTTGTGCGGTTTTCTGGTTTGCTAGAAGCCACTTTTCGCGAGCATGTTTGCTTTCCCCTTGTGGCCATATGATGCCATTTGTGGCCAAATCAGAACACGAACCACTCAAAACAATCCCCGCTGCAGCAAATGGTCCAGAACCACCAGATCTCATTTAATTAGGTTTGTTAAAGACTTTGGGCGTCCTCCTCTACCTACCCGGCTCCCATCATCCACTTGTTTTTCACTGGGCAGCCGCCAAGACTGGTATACAGCGCACCTTGGAGAGGCGGTTGCCTGGCACAGCCGCTTGTGTTGTTGCCAGGTTCCGGAGAAATGGGATAATGTGATGCCCTTCGTGTTGCTGAGCGCTCTCGAGGTGAAAAATACCAAGGGCGCCTTGAACCGAACGAGTTGGGGGAGGAGGGAAGAGACCCGTCTCGGGCTGGGTGCCTTTGGTCGGTAAGGGCTGCATATGTGTGAAGTCTTCCCCGACGAAGGGGTCGGTCTGTGTGTTTGGTGTTGTGGGAGGCTTGATGGGTTCAGATGAGGTGCCTATCATCCCCAGCTAGGGGAAGCCTTGATCCTTTTGACTCCATTCCATGACGATTGAGTCTGACATAGTCCAATGCATGAACCATCTAACACATGACTAATTTTGACTAATGGTCTATGTGTCTAATATAGTTGTTTTGCGGGCCTCCTCTCCTTCCCCCCGTTCCCCTGCCTAAACTGACAGGGCTTGAGAAGACGATAGCACTACAAGGTTTGCAAGATGATAGCACCTTATGACACCAAGTATCCTTAAAGAGGTTCTTTCAAGTAGGCTTGCTGTACTATGCAATGCCTTGAATCTGCAGTTTTGAGGGAGGGGCAGGGAGCAAGAGATGCGATATGTGTGCGGATTTATGCACCAGGGATCTCCAATGGAATGCACTACTGGTGGATCTCCATGTGACACCCCTGTGAAGGCCCGGTGCCTAGACAGCGTCCATGGATTGACCTATATGATATGAAGGCCCAGGCAGATAAAATGACATGCGATGATATACGGTACATCCTATCGTTTTTCCCCCGTTGTGCTCCACACTCCCAGCTTGGAGTTTGTCAGGTGTTCTTTGCAAGAACCTCATGTGACTTGGCGAATGGCGTCGAGTTTGTCGGGCGACCGGCGAGTCAAGGGTGACCAGTCAAGGTCCACCATGATAAATCAACCAGGCCCTGACGAAACCATATCATTAGAGTGTTGGTGACATTTGCTTGGTGGGACCCGGTATGAATCGTATCCAAAGAAAGTGGGTATGCAGTGTGACTCAAAGTTAGACCTGTTATAAACTGTCAAGGCAAAGCTGCTTCAATATGCTTTCTCTTTGGGCATTTCCTTATTAGCAGCTCATCCCCAGCAATTCGCCCAGTCGAACGATCATGGACTGACTCCTTTGAGGCAAGCAGATGGTGTGAAGCCACCACGTCAAGATGGGAAATTGGGATAATTCACTGATGGGACAAGCATCTCATTTGCTTGAACTTTGACTTCCAAGGCAGATGAGAAATCCTGTGACAAACCGGTGTGACATGTTGAGACGTGAAAACACCAGCAAGCACTGTTTTGTTTTGGCCGTGGATGGAACATGTCCTGTTTGCTCGTTCTCGGTCGTCACTCACGGCGCATGAAACGGCGCCCCATCTGCGCGTGTTCAACTGCGAAGGGTGCCTTCGGCTACAACCGCCGAGAGCGCCTCTTGGGTCCCGTGCGGTCCAGCGCACTATGACCGGGACAGGAAGATCGTTTGGCTCGTCTTCACGGGCGATTTTCGTGCAGCCTTTGACCACTGCGAGAGACCCAAAAGCAGCGTGAAAAGGAAGGGGGACCGGGAAAGATCGGAGCCAGAGATGGTGGGAGGTGCAAGGAATTGTGGGGATTTGGGTGTCTTCAGAAATGGCTGTGGGTCGTACCGAAAAGGAACAGAAGGAGGTCAAGGTTTACCAAGGTTTAGGTGTTTGGGCCTTGACCCAGCCAACCACATTCAGCACATCCGCATCTCCAGCACCACAGTTCTTCAGCCTGCGAGGGGTGGTGTTAATTTTTAGCGCAATTGAGCACCATCTCATTTACATGCAGTGGGTGGCTTCCAGAAGTAAATGGCGCTCTTACCCCTACATGTGTTTCTTAGTAATAGGGATGTGAGCCACCAAACTTAGGGATGGTGCCATCTACTCCTGAAACCACTATGTAATACTAAGAATTGTTTGGGCCAGCTGAAGGGTCATTTGGGGTCCTTTTCCTATGATCAGGTGCTGGGGTGATCCGTCGGCCGGAATATGTCGGGATGGTCGATCAGGGGATGGCGGTCCCAAGCCTCCGGAGACTGCAAAAGGCAACAGATCCAGGAAGGTTTTTTGGAGCTTCTTTCCTCTCCCTATCATCTGAACATACCTCAGCACACCCTTGATCAGGGGTCTTGAACGAAAGATTCATGACACTACTGGCGTTGGTTTTGCCCACCCCGCCCGTTTCTGCCGTCCAGGTTCATCGGCTGGCTTGGTATCTCTGAGTGACGAGACGGCAGTTTCCGTTGGCATCGGATGCCAGTCATCGCTTCTCTCAGGAGTTTTGTTGCGATTCCCCTAGGCTTCCAACCACCATTGATTCAATAGGCTTTACCGAATCAACTAAGGATTTTACACTACCAAAAACCAGGTCAACCATCTTTTTTTAATGGTCTTGGACGTCTAGGGATTCGGATGCCTGTGGCATACCTTTTCACCATCGGAGCGGTGGGGGTTTCCAGTGAGCCAGATGAACAGGTACCTAGCAGTTCCAATGGGTGTCCAATGGAGGCCTGTAAGTAAGGTAGGGTAGTCTATTGGACACCGGATGACCGAGGTAGAAACATGTTAACCTTCATTGACCAGAAGAAACTGAAGGAGTGAGGGTCCCTGATCTGGGAGGAGCAGAGGTTCTCCCGAAAAGACGATACGGTAGGTTACCCATGCCCGATTCCAAGAGTTGGGCGCATTGAAAACCCACCCTTTCGGGGGGGTGGAACAAAGCGGTAGGGATGGATTAGCCTGGATGGCTGGCTTCGGCCAGAACGGGCTGGCTTAGCCCTCGCCCCACATCGGGCCCCAACGGTTCGATCCTCCAATCAAAAGCTGCTTCTATAGCACATGGCCTTTTCAAGGTCGTGACCTGTTTTGGAGTGCCTAAGGTCCCTAAGTGACCCTCTGCTTTAGAGGCCAGTTAGTGAGTGACCTCCAGGGGGATCAAAAAGGTCGCGGTGAAGAACCTAGGACAGTTTTCTGCCATGTTTGAGGGCCATCAGATGGAAGTGCGCACACACAATTACTGTATATACTGTATGGCACGTGTTGAGGTTGTCTTTCAGATTTGGGAGAAGGGATTGAAATTATAAGCACCCATGAATCTACATGATTCTTGGACTGTGCAGTCTGCAAGCTCAAACGACGCCCTATTCAACCCGCGGAGAAACAGGAAGCGACAAGCGACCAGTCGCGTGCTTTGGACTGTTTTCCCAGATGGATTCCTCCTTTGCTGCCACAGGGCGTAGCAACAGAGCTTCTTCAGAACCCGAACGTTCGACTGATGGGATCCAGACTGTTCAGGTGAACCTTAAGCAGGAGCCTTCACGTTGAACAGTTTCTTCCTTGACACTGATGCTGATGTAGCAGAGCTCGGACTCCTCAAAAAGCAGCTTTCTCCGGTCGCGGCATCAGTGGCTCAAGCACATGGAGTTAGAGTTTTTTGTTTTTTGGAAGATATTGGAAGCGATTCTTCCACACAGTCACGTGGCAACCAACAAGTGCCTTCAATCAGATCAATCTTGAACCCAGGTCAACAAAAAAATGCAACGTGACGCACCGGAATTGTTTCTCATTCTCCTGCTACCGGTCACTACTGCATGTTCCTATCAGCTTTACAACTTCAGTTGGCTTATCCTTCCGTTGCAACGGGCCGACCGGGGGCCGTTTAGGGCCGGCAATGACTCGGCCAAGCAATGGTTCATCCAAGTCGTTTGATGCAAGTTTGTTGGAAGATGATGGATCACTTGATTTGGCAACTTGTCTAGTGATGATGGATGTTGTATCATCAACTCCCAGCCTTTAGCAAGCGGTGGGGGAGAGTGAATGGAGAAAGCACCTAACAACAAGCAGCTGCAGCAGCAGCAGCCTCGTCGTCATGGTAGTGGTGGTGGTAGTGGTAGTAGTAGCAGTAGTAGTAGTAGTAGCAGAATAGAAGAAGAAGTAGTAGTAGTAGTAGTAGAAGTAATTAGAAGTAGATAGGGGCTGAACCGGTGCCTTTCTTGATCCTGTCCTCTTGCTATCTCTTACTTGGCTGTGGGGTTACATCGGTTACTCCCCAGCCATAGTTGATACACCAGGTGGCTGTTGCCTTGAGAGGCAATGACCGCAGTGAAAAACCAGGCCTGTTGAACAGAAATGATGACCAATGGAACCCGGCATCCTTATACAGCTCAACTCCTGCCCACACTTGACCAACCACCGTAGATTTACCCTTCACCATTTGGCTGTGTGGGATGGCCCAGCACTGGCACTTCGAAACAGCTTTGAAGACATCACCCTGCATCACCCCGTGAGTGCCTTCGGCCAATCCGAGTCTCGGCTCTTCGGTCCGTCGGTCCGCGGTTTCGGCAAGGCGTTGATGGTCTCCGACCATCCGGTTCTCAAGTCCTGTGGCCAAGCATTGCTCGCGGGCATCAGCGAGGCGGGTTGAAGTTCAACTCGGAAAGGCTTGGCCCAGGTATGCTCAGGTGCTGAGAAGTTCACTTGAAGGAAGGTGAAGTATATATGATGTGTATGGTGTCGATGAACTGCCCATGACTTGCCAGCTGAAACCCGTATGGGAGGATATACTCCATCGACTTTCATAGATGTTTCAGATGAACAAGCCCTAGGGCTCCAACCACCTCCGTTTCGAAGATGGTTGGGGTGGGTGCCAGGGGGGTCTAACCACCGAACCTGAGGATATGGGCCAGGAGCCCTAGGGAAGCATCAGCACCATGCAAATCTCAGAAAGTGGCTTCATGATCTTCGTCCCGTGCTGCCGAAAACGAACCATCCCGTGCTCCGCTCGCAGACCGCCCGCCGCAGCGAACGACCCCGGGCGGATGTGTTGGTTTCGCCCGGTCTCCGGCGCGGAAGGTGAATCAGATGATCCAGAGATGTGGTCCCTGGATCGCTGCGAAGGATTTCCCACCGGAGGGAACCATGGCCACTGGGCAGCAAAAAACCGATGTACATGAGATTGAAGGTCCTGGGGATGCGGGATGCAGCAGCAGAGGCGCCAAGGATGTGCTGGAAGCAAGGCGACGTTCCTCGTTTGTACTGACTATGGTACTGTATCTTTTAGTCAGTGGACAGTTGTGGATTGAGAGGACCAATGGCACAGACCGACATCCTGAGAGGCCCAGAGAGTTCTGGAGT